GTGGCTATGTGAGCAGAGAGAAGGGGGCATATACGAGAGATATTACAAAGATCAAAATGACATTTTTCAACATATTGGTTGTATGGGGTAAGTGCAAATGAGTTGAGGATGATACCAAGGTTTTGAATCTGGCTGACTGAGAGGAGAGTAGCTAGGTGGCACACAGAGCACCGTGCCTGGAGTCTGGAAGACTCATCTTTCCGGTTCCAGTCTGGCCTCAAACACATACTAGCTGTGTGACCCTGGGTAAGTCACTTAACTCTGTTTGCCTTAGTCGCTCAACTGGAAATGAGCTGGAGAAGGAAATGGCAGATCACTCCAGTAACCCCAAATGGGGTCATGAAGAGTTGCACACAACTGAAAATGACTGAACAATAAAAGACTGGGAGGAAGGGTGATGCCTTTGACCATAACAAGGAAGCTGGGAAGTAGGGAGGGTTTGTGGGGAAAGATAATGAGTTCTATTATAAATATATCGTGCTTCAGTTGGCTTTGGGATATCCAGTTTGCAGTGTTCAAAAGGAAGCTGTCAGTATGGGAACGGAGCTCAGGAGGAAGACTAGGGCTGGAGATAAAGATCTGGGAACCATCTATATAGGGATGATCACTGGACCCATGACAGCTGATGAGATCACCAAGTGAGATGCTACAAGAGAAGGGAAGAAGGCCCAAGGCACAGCCTTGACAGACACCCAGTTGAGAGTGTCTTGGATAAAGGTACAAAAAGAGACTGAGAAGAAGTGGTCATACAGGTAGGAGAACAATCAAGGCAGAGAGTATTGTCATGAAAACCTAGAAAGAAAAGAGTATCCAAGAGAAGGTGATCAATGGTATCAAATGCTGCAGAGAAGTCAAGAAGGATGAGGGTTGACAAAAACCATTAGATCAAGTAAAAGGAACACAGAAGAGGTTATGTCTTACTCGTGTAAAATCTCTATTAACAAAAGACCATAAAGATTACATATAGAACTCACCAACAATCCCAGATTATAAAGACCTGTGTTTGGCACTTTCTTCTGCACTCCTGAGCTAATGGAGTCATTGACCCACAGAAAGGGAGAGTCTCCAACTGGGACATCCTATTTATTCCTTAAAAAAAAATCTTTTAATTGATATCTTTTGTTTTGCATCAACTACATCTCCCCCATGTCCATCCCATTCCTCAAGATTCCTTTACGATAAATTTTTAAAATTATTCTTATCTAAGTGAGTTACACAATCACAATAGTTAACACATTAATCATAAACTGAACCAAAGTTGTCAGAAGCCTTTATCCCCTATTTACTCTACAACCAAGCCCTACAATAAGATATTTAAAATTCACCTCCAGGTGAAAGCCCTTCCTTATGAATTCTGCCTCACTCTCTGGCTAAATTATCTTCCCAACCAAAGTAATAGTTCCTCCAGGGGGAGAGACTGCATCTATTTTCAACTTTCAATTTCTATTGCTTTCTAGCTCTGAACTCCCAGGGACCTTGCAGCCTCATCTGCTCCAGAGCTGTTACAGCTGTTCTCCCTTCCAAATCAAATCTCCAGACACCACATCTGAGAGAAGCTAAGCCACTCAGTCAGTCATCTTGGAACGCCCTGGGCCCATGCACTCCACAGTGCAAACTCCCCATCTCAACACCCAGTTTTCTAATTCTTGTTCTAAGGACTGTAATAAAATCAGCACTATCATTTCCAAAAAGCACTTGTCAACAGACTGCACTATCATCCTATTTACCATTTCTATGACTTCCCAGACCAAGAGATCCTTCTGCATCCCCTATTCATCTATAACTGATATCTCCCCCATTAGACTATAAGCTCTGTAAGAGCAAGGACTGTTCCAATTTTATATTTATATTCCCAGCAATTACCATAGGGCTTGGCATGCAGTAACTGCTTAATAATCCTTTTCCATTCATTTGTTCAATCTCCTTTCATTATAGGGTTCTCCATACAGCTAAATATTATTGGCTGACAACCTGTCAAATTATTTTCTAAAAAATATTTTATTAATGTATTTTATTATTAATAAATATATCAATTTATTTTACTTTCCATCAGCTTTTCTTCCAAATAGAACTTCCTCCTTCCCTAACGAGCAGTAAATTATACCCAATAAGAAAGATTCAAAAATCGAAGACAGGGGAAAAACCTCAGTCACTTTTTCCACCAGGCTCCCTCCCCTTGTCTTTCTTCATTCTCTACTTAACTGCTGGCTTTGTTGGGGAGTGATTCAGAAAGGGTCTTGGTGGCCCTGTGACATCTGTTCCTGTTTGATGACCTGACAGGGCAGAATTTCACATTCAGTTCACATTTATGGAGCACCTAGTATGTACTTACCCCTGTGCCAGATACTGATGAGTGAAAGGGGAGAAACATCTAAACTTCTTGAGCACAATAAACACAATCTAGTTAAGGAGGCAAGATTTACACATATGAAGGGCAATTCAAGGTAGAGCATAATTAGGTCATTTAACACTGAACTTGGCCTTGTAGGAAGGGTAGGATTTGATTACCCAGAGAGGAGGAAGAAAACTACTGCAGGTGTGTATGAAATGGGGGCAAGGAGGAAGGAGCAAAAGCAGGAATGATCATTATACGTTTAAGAATGTCACATGCATGCTATGCTCGATGTAACACAGGCAAGCGCTGCCAGAACCACCTCGGATTCATCGTGTTTGATTTTTAATTAATTTTTGGTTGTTGCACATTCAGAAACCTTTTACTGCTGCCAAAATTTTCAAGCTGCTTGTAAGCAGGGATCCTTAACCTTTTTCATGTCTCAGGCCCCTTTGGCAGTCGCCAAAGCCTATAGACGCCCACCACAGAATAATGTTTTTAAATAATTGAAGGAAATACTAAATTTCAACTAGAATTTAGTGAAAATAAAGTTGTAAATTTTTTTCCCATCTAAAGTCATGGACTCTTTAAAATCTATCCAAATCTACCTACATACCCCAAGTTAAGAACCCCTGTTCTGAAATCTACTGTTTCATCTATGCGGCACAGTACATAGAGAGACTGACTTGGACCAGGAACAACTGAGTTCATATCTGGGCTCCAACACTTACTAGCTGTGTGATCTTAGACAGGTCACTTAATCTCTGTCTCCCTCAGTTTCCTCACCTGTAAACGGAGATAATAATAGCACCTACCCCCAGAGTATTTGTGACAATCAAATGAATTAGTATATGTAAAGTGCTTTGTAAACCTTAAAGCCTATAGAAATTCATACTATTATTATTGTTATTATTTCTCAACATCACAATCCCTAGGCCTAGACCAGGGGTGAGGAACCTGCAAACTCGAGGCCACATGTGGCCTTCTAGGTCCTCGGGTGTGGCCTTTTGAGCGAGTCCAAGTTTTACAGAACAAATCCAAATTAAGGGGATTCGTTCTGTGAAGTCTGGATTCAGTCAAAGAGCCAAATTTGAGGACCTAGAGGGCCGCGTTTGGCCTCTATATAAAGACAACCAAAACATTACTTTTACCCATCCATTTAGAGTGGGGCAGCTAGGCCGTGCAGTGGATAGAGTACTGGGCCTGGAATCAAGAAGACACCTTCATGAGTCCAAATCCAGCCTCAGACACTTACTATGTGATCCTGGGCAAGTCACTTAACCCTGTTTGCCTCAATCTATAAAATGAGCTGCAGACGGAAATGACGCATTACTCCTTTTGCCAAGAAAACCCCAAATTGGGTCCTGAAGGATCAGATACAGTTGTATCACAGTTGAACCACAAAATAAGAAGAATGATATCACTTACCTTCTAGGGTAGCTGTGAGGATAATATGAGATAATATTTACAAACTGATTTGCAAACCTTAAAGCACTATATAAGTGCTAGCTGTTATTATTTATTCAGTGTCTACTACGTGACAGACACCACATTAAGCAATGGGGATACAAAGAAGGCAAAAAACAGTCCCTGCTCTAACAGTCTAATAGGAGAGACAAGACCCAAACAATTTGGAACTTTTAAAAAGTTTGAGAGACATAATTTCTGGATAATTTAATCATTTTATTAATAATTCTAGCACATTTATTAATAAAAGGATGGTCATTTGACCATCTTTCTCTTAAACCAAAGACCATCATGGTGGCAGGCTCATAGCTTTATATGCCCATTGGAAGAGGGGTGTTCAGGGGGTGGCAATCAACTCTGATTGGTTAACAATTAACAAGAGAATGAATATTACAATGAGAGGCTGAACCTATTCAAATGAACTCTGATTATGTCATTTACTTCTAAGTTACCTCCAACACTGGGCAATCTATTCAAAGAATTTATCCCCACTGAAACCTGAGTAGAGCACCATGGCTTCCCCAGATGGATGGGAACAAGATTGTTAAGAAAGTTAGTCCAATCTCATTATCAGTGACATCCTTCAAGAGACTGAATTTTTGAAATTAAGACTTTAGAAAAAGGGGGGAATTCCCCAAATCATTTGTTATTAATAATCATTTATCTCTATACATAATATATATATATATATATATGACAAATTGGAGGTCATCTCAAAGGGAAATGTCTAAGATTACAGAGGAGCAGAAAGTGGGATTTTAGCTGGGACTTGAAGCTGGGGAAGCCAGGAGGCAGAGATAAGAAGGGAGAGAATTTCAAGCATAGGGGACATCCAATAAAAATGCCTAGAGTCAGAAGAAAATTATCACAGAAAAGAGGTTGATCCAGGCTGCCAAAGGCTGTAGAGAGGTCAAGAAGGATAAGGATTAGGGGGGGGGGGGGAATTATATATCCTCTGTATCATTTCTAGAATTCAGACCCTATCACCAAAATCTACTAATATTTCACACTCTCTTGAAAACATCTCTCTCCCTAAGAGTCTGGCCCCAGAAAAGTTCTACAAATCACTGATTTCTTCCTATAACCTTTGCCTTGATTTTTACCCATCAGTCTTTCCTCCCAGGTTTCTTCTCGCCTTTCCAGCACATTTACCTAGGAATCTGGCTCTAGCCATATTTTCCGATTCCTAGGCTATACTGACCCCAAGTTTTCCAGTCCACTATTATCTTTTTTCTTTCCCCTCTCTGGGTGATATATGAGGATTGTCTTATTCACACAAAAAAAAAAATCTTGGTCCAAAGTAACTGCATTTCCCTAGGACAGATCTGATCTAAGGTTAGAATGGAGTGTTGTTGTTCAGTCGTATCTGTCTCTTTGTGACCTCATATGGGATCTTCTTGGCAAAGATACTGCAGTGGTTTGCCATTTCTTCCTCCAGTTCATTTTACAGATGAGGAAACTGAAGCAAACAGGGTGATATGACTTGCCCAAGGTCACACAGCTAGTAAGTGTCTAAGGTTGGATTTGAACTCACGAAGATGAGTCTTCTGACTTCAAGCCCAGTACTCTATGCACTACACTACTTAGCTGCATGGAGTACACATGATATTCAGGATTGGGAAATTATTGAAATTATTCCATGTTTCTTTAAGAGAATTACCCTGAAGTATTCCAAGTTATGTTTGGGGTTTAATTTCAACACCACATTTGACCTTGTTCTGAGTATTGATGCTATATCTTGCTTCTGGAAGTTGAGATAATGGGTTTCCTGAGGCTTATCATGCATGCGTCACTGAAAAGAGCATGAAATCCACAGCCATACTTCTTCACACTTGTTCATGAATATTTTGCAACTTAACAGAGCCAGAAGGATCCCTGGTCCATACCCTGAACTCTAATTAAGGATGCAATTATTCTGACTTCTGTCAGTGTCTAGTAAGGGCCTGGGGGGTAAAAATAGCTATTCAATAGAAAAATGCTCCATTATGTGACCAAATAAAGATACAGTTGAAATCATTTATAGATAGGGTATAGTTTTATTTTTAATAATGTAGGCACTCTATGGGAGGCTGGTTATTTCCTTTTCCTTAAAATATGGTGGCTAAATTTGATTTTTTTTTACAAGATGTTCTTAGGCAGGTAGGTGTCCAAAGAGAACCTGCATAGAAAAAGATGTGAAAATCCACAGAGTAACCCATAGTACTTGGCACCTGATTCATCACTGGAATTTCTTGGGAAAATACACTTCCTAAAACAAGATATAAAATATGGCATAAAATAAAATTGAAACCCAACTCCTCCTGACCCTTGCGCTTGGCTCCACTCATTCCACCTTCTCCATCACACAACAGCAGATCACAAATATGGTCATCTGGCTTTAAAGAGAAAGAAAACTACAAAATATCAGTTAGAAGCAACCTCAGAAACTATTTAGTCTAACCAGTGCCAGAAAAAGGATCCCTTTTATAACACACTTGGCAAACTGTCTTTATTGGAAGTCCTCTGAGGATGGGGAACTCAGTACTTTCCAAAGCAACTCATTCCACCTTTGGACAGTGTAAGTTGTTTGGGAGTTTTTCCTTCCTTCTAGCCAAAACGTGCCTCACTTCAATTGCCACCCATTATTTCTAGGGTGTCCCTAGAGGACCAAGCAGAACAAGTCTGATCCATCTTCCCCAGGAACAGCCCTTGAACACAAGGATCTTACATAGCCTGTCTTCCCAAGCCTACCCCACAAGTCTTTTCTTCTCCAAGCTCAGTTTTTAAAAGGATGTCCACACGTAAAACCTAGGAAACACTGTCTCCATGCTGTAGAGAAGATATGAAGTTTTAAAAAAAAAAAGCCTTAAAAACTAAATTGGGTATTAATACCCATCCAAAAAGACAAGGATTAGTCATTTTTATCATTTTTGCTCAAAAGGTGAAATCTGAATTGATTAATGATAGATAGAACTGGACAGAAATGAACCAAATACCAAGGATATCACAAAGATACTCCTAAGTAAGCTTGAAGGTGGCCAGGATAGAGGGAGTCTGCTGGGCTGATTGCCAGCTAAATCCTAAACAGCTTAGAGTCCCTCCAATTCAATAACCTTGAGAGGCGGGGGAGAACTGCATGTAAACAAAACACAATAGATTCTTCAAAGCTGGAATAATCTACAGGCTTTGGGGGATTCACCAAAGCACAGAAGCATGAGCTTAACACAGGCTCACATCTCTCCCTTTTTTGAAAAAGCAAGCAGTTTTCCATGGGCCCTTTGTCTTGTCTTTCACAGGGATGTGGGCAGTGAGAACAGGCTTTCCAGCTAGATCACCACTCAGATAACACAGGAAGGAGAGAGGCCCCTCACAAGTCTGAGGTGAATGAAAGAGATGCTATCAGCTTTCCAGAATGATTGCAACAGATCTTCAACTCAAGACAGTGCTTGGCTCCCTATGGAGCTGATGGCAAGTCAAGTCACATACTCAAGCTATCAGGCTGTCAGCAGGTCATTATTTCTTTTTCAGAATACTGTACTCCAGAGCTTTGGGTCTCTGAAATGATGAATAGCCCTGTCCATTTCAGTGATTGTTGACTGAGGAAAAGTAGAACTCTTCTTATATATGCAGGCTCAAAAGAATAAGCAAATTTGGGGAATGGTGAAACAAATTGTAGACATGAATGTAATGGAACATTACTGTGCAGCAAGAAACAAATTTGAAAACTCAGAGAAGCATAGAAAGACCTATATGAATTGGTGCAGAGTGAAATAAACAGAACCAAGAAAACAATACATACAGTGATAACAAGAAAAAATGGAAAGAACAGGGGGAAAAAAAAGAAAAAATACACCGTTTCTTCCTTATTTGTAAAGGTGGAGGGCTAGGAGTTACAGCAATACATACACACACACACATACACACACACACACACATACATACATACATACATATATTGCCAGAGGGGCTGATGTGTTGGAAGGTCTACTGAGCTACTTTTTTTCTATTTCCTTTTTCATTCTTTGTCACCAGGAGATAAGCAACTAAGTGGAGCAGAGTGCTAGAACTGGAGTCAGGAAGACCTATGTTCAAATTTGACCTCAGACTCTTACTGTGTGAACTCTGGACAAGTCACTTCACTTCTGTCTGCCTCAGTTTGCTCATTTGTAAAATAGAGATAATGACAGGCAGTTTCTTCCCAGGGTTGCCATAAAGATGAAATGGGAAAATATTTATAAAGTGTGCAAACTTTAGAGCACTGTATAAATGTTAGCTACTTTTAATCTTTTTTTTTGGCTGGATGAAGATATTTTCAGAAATGACGGTGATATGAAAACAAAAAAATACACTTTTAAAATAATTTTAAAAATAAATAAATTGTTCTTTTTTAAAGGGGTTTTAATAGCCACAATGGACATTTTTAGTCAAGAACAAAATAAGCTGGGGAAGTGACAAGTCAGAAAGAGCCAGAAATACCACTAATACTTCCGATACTAACACCAATGAAAGCAAAGCAACAAGGGAAATTCAAAACAACGGAGCCTCTATTTTCTCTTCATGCTGAATCTGCAGCAGTCTTCTCAAGGCCTTCAAAAAAGGAGAGAGAGATGGAAGAGAATTCTTTGCCACTGGCGGTGGAGTGTAAATACTGGGAGCCAACAGGTGCCATCTCGCTGAGGGCATGGTTTCCTTATCTTCTTTCCCTCACCCTTAATCACCACCAGAACCTTCTTCCTCCTGTGGCTACTGCCAGCTGAGTGACAGCAAGCAAGAAGGAAGGTGCAGTTATCTGGGTGGTGACTAGACTGCCGTGACAAAAATGCTGCCATTAGCCCTTCTCGGTTCTCACTTTTGAGAACCTTTCCTGTGGTTTCAAAAACAAAAACAAAAAAACCCGGCACACCATAGACCGAGTCTCTAGCCCAGCAAGCTTTAGCTTTTCATGATAAATACTTTCTTACACAATGAACGCATGACATTATAATCATTCCAATGATCTTTCTCTTCAAAATTAGTCTAAGTATGTAACTAAGAAAAATAACTGAGGTGTGGAGCTTTCCAAAATAGAACATGGCAACTGTTATTTTAATATTTAGAAAAAATAACTTTAAAAGTATTAGTAACAACAGCTGTTTACAGAGAATTTTAAGACTTGCAAAGTGCTTCATAGACATATATTATTTCATTTGCCTAGTGAGACAGGTACAACAGGTATTCTTTTCCCATTTTACAAATGACGAAGCTATGGCTTAAAGCAGTTAAGTGTCAAAGGTGGCAGCCAAACCTAGATCTCTCCGGGCCGTAAGTCCTTATAAGTCTGCCCTATCACACTGCCTCCAAAGTATTAAAACTTAAAAGAGAAAAAAAACAATTCTTTTCTCTAAGATAATTTTAGATCAGATAACTCAAGTGAGAAATGCAGACTGTAAAAATGCAAAGATTAGATCTAGTTTTCTATCTTTGAGGAAGCTAGCACCTTCATTCATAAATAAAACTGGCATAAGCCATCAGAAGCTAATCAGAACATTTTCAATAATCTCACTCATGAGTTAGTCAGATTCACTAAACAGATTATCCACTATTTTTTAAAAATCCATTTGACTTCATTAAATGAGAGAAACAGAAATTAATTCAGTGTTCATACTCACCCTCTTACAGTTAAGACTGCATTTTAGTTCAGACTAAACTCAGGAAATTTAGCTGTGATTCCAAAAGTCTGAGGTGAGATTTAAATTGATACATGCAATGCTAAGTTTATTTAAATCAAATATGATTAAAGTATATGAAAACTGACCAAAGAAAACAATGTCCCTCTAAGCAAATAAAATCTTAAACATACCTGGACAGGGAAAGCAAAATTTTGGTTGTTTTTCCAGATAATTTAGAGATCAGAGTTCTCACCACTGATACAAGTGAATGACTTTCAATCACATGTCCACATTGAGAAGGTTGCCTTTCATCTTGACCAGACAGAAAAATGTTTAAAGTCAAGGCTGGAGGCTGATAGGCTGTTCAAAGAGGTTTGCTCTAGCTACAAGAACACAGAAAATAGTGCATCTTGGTAAAAACTCACTCTACCTAATTACTCTCAGCTGTTTGTCATGCGGTCTTAGGACTGAGGAGTCAAGTGATTTCCCCTCCCCCCTTTCAAAAGCTTCCCAAGATTCAATTATTTGATCTATTTTTGAGCAGGAAATTACTTTATTAAACCCCTTACATAAAGCACTAAAAACTTACTATTTAAAACATTTTCTTAAACATAAGTCCATCATTTGTGTTTTCTTAAGAAGACATGAAACCAATGACCAAGATCTATAAAGTTTGCTTACGATTACA